ATATATAACAACTTTTAAGACTTTATTTGAATAAGTTAAAATTGCGCATCTAAAAGAGTCAAGTGGCTCATATTGGTCATGCCCCAAATCAATCAAAGAGCCTGACTCGGTATAAGTACATTTTTTTTAGTTATTTATGCTGAATCCAACTTGACATGATTCTTGAATGCATAGGCCTGAGCCTAAAACTTTCAACCCAATATAATTTATTTTTTAACTAAAGTTACCCTAAAACTTTAAACCTTGTTAAAGACCACTTGAGATTTACAAATATAATCTCAAATAGATCAAACCACTACAACCACTACATGAAAATTTGAATGTAGTGTCAAAAAAATTCGTCAATAATAGGGTCAAAAACCCGACGCTAATTCCTATCATCGATGGATTTACGACGACAATAATTCCGACGCAAAAAGCGGGTTGCAAAGCTATAAGCATAGAAAAAATTCTGCCGTTAAGTTTTGCGGTGGCTTCGCAACAAACTCGATCACACAAAATATTTAATGATGGATATTAAGTCGAAGTATTTGGATTCAAATTTGTATCAAAGGTTTCAGCTGTATAGGACTGCTTTTGTTCGAATTCAACAGTAGCATGTTACTGTTAGAATTAGTGTCGAATGTTGTCAGACACTAGTTTGCATAGAAAAAATTGCATGCAAAATAGAGTCGAACTTGAACTAAATTTTAAATAATATAAGAAGCTAATAAAAATTTTTACACTAGCATTCCACATATAATGATAACTAACATCAATCATAGCTCACAATAGATTAACGAACGTATATCACAGTGACAACAATTACAATCATCAAACATAACACGTTTAATCTAATTTATAATCTATCCAATACAAATTCATAAAATGCAGACAAAAAAAATACATATTATCATGTCCAGAAATAAAATAAAATAAACATAATTTTTACGGAGCATCATTTTCACAGTCCTTCTACTTTTCATCCACAACAATAAGAGGTCACTTGCCACGATCATCTACTACTTGTTTCAACCATGCAACTGTGGTCTCAAACCTCTTGCATCTTTGATTTTTGGCATGAAGCTCCTCTGTTAATGTGGCGACAAGGCCGACAGCTTCCTCATGCTCCAATGAAAACCTATGACTTTGAGCTGGTCGGGAGTGCTCGACCTCGTATACAAAACCCTATGCACCTAGGCTGTAGACCCTCCCCTTCATTTTCCCATCAGCTTACCTTTAGATATTGTAGTCAGACTTTTCAGAAATGACTCACTACTGATATTGCTACTGCAAACATTTGTCGGGCTTTGGCTTTGGCTCTGGTATCCCAAATGCGCTCGTAGTCTTCATACATAATTAAAACTAAAAAATGATCAATATTTTACAATAAAATTATAAATATATTATAGAAATTAAAAAAAAAAATTCTTTCTTATACACACGGAGGCCCATCGCTGCGTCCTCGATCGCTGCGTCCTCGAGCACCAGTGCAACCGGGCATGCAACTCAATAGTGGTGGGCTCTCACTCAATCTTTTGAGTTTGTTAACATGTAAGAGATTAAACATCAAATAATTGAATTAATTATATGACTAGTATTGAATGAATCTTACTAACATCTTCTATTATTTGGTGTGGAGGACCAAACCTCCAATGTGTAGTGCAAAACCTTAGCCCAATTCGACTCTCCATTTCTATTGGGCCATCTCCCTCTTATTTTGATGTTCACAAATGGCTAAAAATGTGGTCAAAACCACAAATATCTCCTA